CATTTTCCTGTAGACTTAATTTTATGGTGATTTTAAGCTTAAAAGTTACTATTTAAATAGGCATTTCTGTTCCATTTTGACTGTGCGTGCTACAGTGAGTCAGTAGTGGATAGTGGGGGTTGCCGGAACTGGGGGTTTTGTTTACATACGGACTTTTCCAGCTGTGTGAACTGTGTGAACTCCGTAAGCCTCAGAACAATAAAATAGGGTTGTTAATCTAATATTCAGTATTGTAAGTAACAAGTAAAAATGTATGCATTCACACATATGTGCGCGCGCGTGCACACACACACACACACACACACACCCCAATCAGTACCTCGTATATAATAGATATATATTAAGTGACAGGTAATATTTAATCAAATGTATTTTGTTTATTATATAATGTTTGGCAGAAGGGTAATAATTGGAACATTTTGCTATAGCCAATCAATATACTGAGAAGAAATGGAATTTAGGGTTTATGAAGCTGCACAAATATCTAATATTCCATAAATGAGTGCCATATCTGTAGTATGTCTGAGAAAACTGCATAAAAATTAAATTTAGTGCCTGAAGCAGTGCTGTCTCATAATTGGTTCCTACTCTTCAGGAAACTGAGAAATGAATTCTTCAAAATATGTATCTTTGAATTCATATTTAAGGCCCAAGGTGCTATTCTGCCTGCCTTCCTTTCTTTTAATTTATTAAACAAATATTTATGGTCAGACATGATTGTAGCTCCAGAGAAAAAAATGATGAACATACCAAGACGGTTTACCCTCCTTTGTAGAAGTTTATATTCTACTTCCAAGTAAGCAAACTGGCTAATTTCAGCTAACCTACTTCCTGTGAATAATGAAACAACATGGTGAGAAACTGGGGTGAGAGAATTCCTTTATAATTCAGTGACCAGGGAGGATCTGTCTACAGGCTCCGAGGTGCAAGCAAACTTGGTATTCCCTCATCTCACTTAAAGGCACCATATTACTGAGTAATCCTCTTGCTTCACCAAAAGATGTAATTCAGTGAAAGTTTTTATTGTTTAATATTATGTATTCTTATTTTTGATCAATTTTAAAAGGTTCGTTGGTACTTATGTGATCATAAAAGGAAGTCTTAGATATAGTTTACTTTTGGTGAAATGATAATGTGCGACAATTGGAAATATGATTAAATTGCAAAATTACATGCAATCTTTTAAAGAACACAGCTGTTGTAGAAAATGAGATATCTATATTTGTTTTAGAGCCAACACTGCTGTAATGTTTTTTGTAAGGCACATAATTGTAATGTAGCAGAATACTTGTGTGGAAATTGGGATGTTGAATAGTCTTCCTGGAGCATCCTCAGGGTTTGTCAGGTTTCTGCTTTCTCTCTCTGGTAGAATAAAACATCTCATGTGGCAGAAACAGTGCAAACCTTTAGGTGTTCTAATGGGCCAATGGACAGTGACCTCCTTGATGGAAATCACACCATGATGTCTCAATATTTCCAAACAATACAAGAAAATCCGCTAATGATAATTCTGGTGTCTTATTTGATGATGAAAATGCTTTAAAAAATTCTCAGGCAGGGTGCAGTGGCTCACGCCTATAATCCCAGCACTTTGGGAGGCCAAGGTGGGTGGATCTCCTGAGGTCAAGAGTTCAAGACCAGTCTGGCCCGCATGATAAAACCCTGTCTCTCCTAAATATACAAAAATTAGCCCGGTGTGGTGGCATGTCCCTGTAATCCCAGCTACCTGGGAGGCTGAGGCAGGAGCATTGCTTGAACCTGGGAGGCAGAGGTTGCAGGGAGCTGAGATCATGCCATTGCACTCCAGCCTGGGCAACAGAGTGAGACTCGGCATCCTGCCCCCCCCACCAAATTATCATACATTAATATGTATGATATTAAGTAAGTGTATTTAGCGATAATGTTAGTGTTGTGACAGTGAATATTAATGTCCATGCTTTTTTGAGCCTAATTTTTAGCTATAAATTGATATGAAGTTTTTCTTTATTAGCTGACTTTAAATTACTTCTCTTTGTTGTTAATGACATATCTGGATAGCAAAAGAAATGAAATGTATATGGTTTATTTTTCATCTACTAGACAACAGATTTTATTCATTTCAGTGGAACTGAATAAAATTTCCACATAACATGTTCATGCACACTTGTCACATTAACAGGGGCTCAGAAATTATTATTATTATTATTATTTTTTCTGAGATGGAGTTTTGCTCTTGTTGCCCAGGCTAGAGTGCAATGGCACAATCTTGGCTCACTGCAACCTCTGCCTCCCAGATTCAAGCAATTCTCCTGTCTCAGCCTCCCAACTAGCTGGGATTACAGGCATGTACCACTATACCTGGCTAATTTTGTATTTTTAGTAGAGATGGGGTTTCACCACATTGGCCAGGGTGGTCTCGAACTCCTGACCTCAGGTGATCTACCCTCCTCAGCCTCCCAAAGTGCTGGGGCTACAAGTGTGAGCCACTGCACCTGGCTAGAAATTTTGAAATGACTAAAAGTTTACATGAATTATTCCAGCACAACTTGATGGATTTTGTTTTTGTTATTCAGTCACGTTGTATTGTCTCGAGAGGTTTCAAATGTTTGAGTGAGAGGTACATCTTACTTCCTGTCATCCCCGGTGCTGAAGCATCGCTGACCCTTTACCATCTGCATCTCCTTCTGGAACATTCACAGCAAGATAGATGCTAAAATTAAGACTCAGATAGCACTTTCTGATGAGCATTCTCCAAGGATATGTGTGTGTGTGTGTTATGGCTAAGTAATAATACTTGTAAATAATTTTTAAAATGTAGATTGTGTTAAATAAGGAAAGCATATTTACATCAATCTTGCCATCCACGTGTAGCCACTGTTGATATTCTGCTGTTTCTTTCTGATTGCTTTTCTACATGAATGTGTTTCGTTTTGTGGACACACATATGCCTATTGCCTAACACATAAAATGCGCTGTATAAATATGTGAATAAATGGATGTCTTAATATATGGACTAATTTGTATAATATATATGTATGTATGTTGTTTTATTTTTAATTGACAAGTAATAATTGTATATATTCATGGGGTACGTGTGATGTTTTGATATATGTTTGTGGAATGATTACATCAAGCTAATTAACATATCTATAACCTCACATATTACATTTTTTGTCTTGAGAATATTTAAAATCAATTCTTTTTAGCAGTTTTGAAGTATATAACATTATTAACTATAGTCAACAGGCTGTCCAACATATCACTAAAGCTTACACCTGCTGCCTAACTGGAAGGTTGCATCCTTTGGGCAACACCTCCCCATTCCCAATTCCTTACTCATCCAGCCTCTGGTAACTACCTTTCTAAGCACGGCTTTGATGAGTTTGACTTTTTGGATTGCATGTCTATCAGACTGTGCAGTATTTATCTTTCTGTGCCTAACTTATTTCACTTAGCATAAGTAAGGACACAAAACAGCAGATAAGATCTAAATAGACACTGGTTGTGTCCTTAGTTTTTAAATTAACCCAGATAATTCTCAAAATATTCTATTAAATATGTAAAACATAAAAGTATAGTTTTTGATAACCTCAGAATCATATAGGTATATATGGACAATAGTTTATTTAACCTCCTTCTCATATTAATGCTACTTTGCATTTTTGCTGTTATTTTGTGATGCACATTTTTACCGTCAATTTTCATTAGTGCTTTGACTAATTTGTTAGTATGTAATCCTAGAGAAGGAATTACTGGGGAGTAGAATGTAAACCTAAGACAACATTTATCTTTTTTGTCAGAATTTTTAAATTCAAAAATGATAATTTTGTTGAATTACAGAGATTAGCTATTCATCTAGAAAATTTGGAAAACAAAGCACAAAGAAAATTGGGAAGGAATTATTTATAATTCTGGCATCTAAGATGACTTGATTTAAACGTTTTTGATTTATATTTTAGGTTTAGTTTTATTTAATCCATTACACATTTACCAAAAATGATCAATTTGTTTTCTTAACTGCTTCTTTTTCCTACTTAGTAGTGTAACATTATGTAGTCCTTCTCTGCCTTTAGACAGTCTGGTTTTGAAAGGACATGTCCATGTAATGCGTTTAATTACCTCCTCCTTTGTCGACCTTTACTTTGTTTCCAGTGTTTCATTTGACTTGGGATTTTAGGAAACAAAATTCTTGTGTTTCGAACCTTGGGCGCATCTACTGTGATTGCATTAAGACAAATTCCCAGGAGAATTGCTGGTTCAACTTGCAGGAACAATTTTTTTTCCCCAAGGCAGAGTCTCACTCCTTTGCCCAGGCTGGAGTGTAGTGGTATGATCTCAGCTCACTGCAACCTTCGCCTCTTGGGTTCAAGCATTTATCTTCCGTCAGCCTCCTGAGTAGCTGGGATTACAGGTGCCCACCACCATGTCCGGCTAATTTTTTTTATTTTTAGTAGAGAGGGGATTTCACCATGTTGGCCAGGCTGGTCTCGACCTCCTGACTTCATGATCCATCCGCCTCAGCCTCCCAAAGTGCTGGGTTATAGGTGTGAGCCACCGCGCCCAGCCAGGAACAATTTTTAAGCTTTGACAAATAATGCCACATTACCTTTCCACAGGTTGTGTCAATTGACATTCACAACAAAAGAAGTATGAAAGTGGAAGATTATAAAACATTTTAGATGATTCACTGTAAACTTAACTAAATCACTTTCCAGAAAGCCTGTGCCTGTTCCTCCTCTTTGAGAGGAGCAAGATGGTGCCTAATTTGAGAGTTCACTAGGCACTTGAGAGTCAGACATATTCACTAGCCTCTTCTGAAATAGGAAAAGCTGAACATGGAGTGGTTAGGCGATTTTACTAAATGTTCACAGGAAGTGAGAGAGAAGACTCTTCTTAATTGCTGGGTCTTTCAATTACCAGTTTAACTAATCAGCCTGCTTCTTGAATTTATTGTCAAGTAAGTTTTATTATTTTCCTGTCACTAATTGTTTTGAGAAAAGTCATTGTGTTTTCTCTTCCAGTCCCTTCAGCGGCTGCGCAGGGAGCATGGTCTTGGGAGTGGTACTTGAAAGAACAGAAGGCTGTCGCAGCACCTGTTGAGCTGTTTTCCAAGGTCAGCCACTGAAGGACTTGTATTTTTGCAAGGAAGCAACACTTAAGAGATTTAGTTAAAATGAAATGACTTTCCTAGATAGCCCAGCAACTTATTTGAATTATTTGTAGGCTGTGCTGGAAAATGATCCCACAAACTTAATCAGAGCCTTAGTGTTTCAGAGTGGGCTGGAGCCCAGTGCTGCCACCTGCCAGCTCTGTAACCTGGGACAAGTCATTCAATTCAGTGTCCTCTCTCATGAGGTGGGAAAAGTCCCCTACCTTTCTCCTTGGGTGGCTGGAGGACTGAAGCAGTTGTATCCATAAAGGATGTAGGATGCAATGTGCACACTATACATGCTCAATAAGTGTTAGGTTTTATTTTTATTAGCCTGTATTACCTGATTTAGAGGGATCTGTTTTGATGAGTTGCTGAGTGGTGGGTCGAGCAAGATGTTAGAGAAGACAGTAAACCCTTGAGTCCTGGCATACATGACTAGAAAGATGAGCAGAGCAGCCAGTGTAGACTTCCTTGACCATCTGCTAGCACCAGGGCCTTACGGGGGATCCTCCTTACCCAAGACACCAAATCTTCTGATAGTCTTTCTGCTTTTCTTGGTCTGAGTTTTAGATGTTTTAGGGGAAATTTATGTGAAAAATTGCATCAGATTTGCCTCATTACTTTACATTTTAACCTGTAGCAGGAAGCTACAAATTTTTATTTGCTTTACTTTTCATGACATCTGTTGAGTTACATCTAGTATTTGTTAGCGTGTGAAAGGGCCAGCATTTGTGATCCTGGACATGACAGTAGGACAGGAAGGAAGAGGTAGAACAAAGAGGAAAAGAAAGGGAAACCAAGTGCAGGCCTATTGTGTTTAAGAAATGATGTGTGTCCTTTTGTTGTCTAGGTGGGATGCTTCACTGACAAACAGTATGAGGGCCATACCATAGAAAATGAAAACTTCTAGGGCAGTGTTCTTAACCCATTCTTCGTACCAGGTACTTTTGTGGAGCTTTGGAAAGCACAGCATGGGTCTTCCTGAGACCTTCTAAATGAGACCTTTAGGGGCTGGGCCTGGAACATGTGCAGCTTGAGAACCTCCTGCATTCTTTGTGCAGGTTTGGGGCCCATTACTATGGAAGATTTAGGAACTGCCTAGGAGTCAGGATCCTGTTTCCCCATGTTGCTTTCACTTGATAAGAGTTAGGGGTTTGTTCCATCAAAAGGTGCAAGTTCATTAAGGTAAGGGGTTTTACTTCATGTGTCCCGGCAGTGCCTGCTGTGTTGAGTGTACTCAGGTGATCAGTTGCTGTTGAATGACTTCTAGGGAACCTCTTCTCACTTCTGAGTGTAAAGATCTTTGAACGTGGTTGGCTTGGACCAGTGCAGTTCAGCGTAGCTCACAGTCACCTTGCCCTTTCCCCAACCCCTCCCGGCCCTTGCCGCAGGACCACTGCAGATTGGGAGGGTAGAACAGAGTGGGCCAGAACAGGAGCTGCCTGAGACCTGTCAGGCAGTGTGACACCCAAGGCCAGAGGTAGCAGGGTCAAGGTCCAGGATTTGAGCCAAAGAACATAGGTGAGGCTTGTGCCCCGATGGCTACTCTGGTTTAGAAGTCAGACCTGTGCTGTGTCCTCAGATCAATCCTAGGGCAAGGGTCCTCTCTTACACCCACGCAGGATTAAATCAGATATTTGGGTGTTAGGGGTGAAGTGTGGACTAATTTGCAGAGCAAGGAAAGTTTAGGCTGATGGCAGCCAGTTCTCTGTCCAGCTCCTGTGTTGCCCCACATCTCAGCCCGTCAGTGCATTAACATTATTCTCAGAGCTTCTCCTCTAAGACCCTTTAAGGCCCATCAGCCAATGCAAGAACACCTGCAGGATTGAGAATTTCTTCCTTAGATTTTTCTTCATGACCTGGTGTTAACCAAAAAAAAAAAAAAAAAAAAAAAAAAAAAAAGATGAAGGGGGCAAATGTAGGATTTCTCTTTCTGAAATAAATCCTCATGATGGTATCGAGAACTGTGTAATCATAGGCTCTGGGTCATATAACTTTCTCCCTTGACTTTACAGAGATATGACAATAGAGGCACTGGAAGGCAGTCAGTGGGAGGAGCACACACTGTGGGACATAAAGACAGGAGTGGGCCCCCTTGGGAGGGTGGAGAGAGTCGGAGAGACTCTGTTGAGGGAGGTGGGTGGTGAGCAGGTGATGCACTCTTTGATGATTCTTTGGCTCAGAACACAACTTTGAAATTGGACTTTCTCAAGCTTTTGGACTCTAATATTTGTCACCTCTGAAAGTAACAGCAAAGCATTAGTGCATGAGAAAACAGACATGTTTGACATGTTGGACAGCCTTTCTCTCCACTCATAATCTAACACTGAAGCCGTTCACGTGTTTAAGGCTCCGTGTGTGCAAAGTGCTGTGTAAAACACTAGTGGCCGTCCTTCTGTGTTGTTAGTCTGGGTTCTCCCTGATGCGTAGGAAGGCAGGTCTATGCTCGCAGGCATCTTTCCTCCCACCTGAAGCCTTCATTCCCTTACTGCATGTGGCCAGACCTTCCTCTGCCCCCTGCAGACCGTCACTCAGCACACATGTTCCCGCCCCTTTCCTCTGTGGTCCAGAAAGAAGTGTCCCTTCTCTCCAGCCTCCTGCACCTGTGCTCTGCAGCCTTTCCATTCCTGCCTTTCCAGAGCTCTTACTCCATCAGTTATCTCACGGCCTGCCTGTAAGTTGATGTTTCTTCTCTTTTGAACGTTTCCTTTTAGAATGCAAATACGCTTAAAATCTGTTCCATTTTTATGAAAAAATAGTGCCCCTGGGTTTTGCATTTTCCTCTCTAACTCATCTCCTTAGTCCAGTCTGCCTTCTTGAAATTTTAGACTACATTTTCTTCTTTCTGGATTTTTCTAACCTTCTTTTCCACCTCCAGCCTCCGCAACCTGACCTTTGGGTCAGTTCATCCAGCTCTTTAACCGCCATCCTACCAAGACAGAATACAGCTCCTGCAGCCCTCCTGGGCGTTTCTCCTGGTGTTCGCACTTCCTCACCTGGAGGGCAGGCAGACCTTAGTACATCCAGACGTTTCAGCCTTCCTCGGTGGAGCTAGCTCCTGGGGCTCTGTGTACCTGAAGGGCCCTGTGCTAGGTTTCCCTGCAGCCAGCTTGCCCCGCCCTCTCCTCTTCGATCTGTGTATGTTCGGCAATCTAATCTGCTCCAGCTTTGCCTCATAATTATTCTACGGCTACTTTCACTCTGCCGCACTACTGCCTTCATTTACTGTGCGCCCTGGGTTTTTTCGACATGCATTTTTACAGCCGTTCCTTAAGTGATTTCTCTCTGTCCAGGCTGGCCCCACCCTTCACCATGCCTGCATGTCTTGCAGGAGGGATCTTTGTGAACTGTGGTTCCTGTTTATCAGTTGCGTACTTAACACCTCTGGCTGCTTTTTGTGCCATTCTGTGTGGTTCTACGTGCGTGTCTTTTGTCTCTCGGTGGAATTGTGATCTCCTGGAAGCCTGACTGGGTTTCTTGCTTTCTGTTTTAGTTCCTGTCTGCCCTCCAGTTCCTGGTAGAGGTTCCTGTTGTTTGCTGGTGCTTTTACCTGCACTGCCTCAGTAAGCCCTCCACTGCTTCCCCTCACTGTGTGGAGGCACCTCCCTGACTCTCAGTTGATTTAACTGAAAACAGCAGATAAATATCACCTCCTTCTCAGGGGTTTTCCTAAAGAGTGCCATATAGTGTGTATCAAGTGTCCTGCCTACTAGTGTCTGGCATGTAGATGACTTTCTTAAGTACAAGCGGTTCTGCAAATCACTCTCTCTTCCCTTGCTCTTCCCACTGCCTTTTCTCAGCCCTTCTTGGTGCCCTGTGTGCTCTGACCATTAGCCCACCCCGGCCTCCGCAGACCTTATCCTTGTCAGGACTTGCCTCCCTTTGACCACAGTCCTCTCCCCTTCCAGCCTGGCCTGCCCACTGCGGGGGGTGGGAGGGTTCCTGTCTCAGTCTCCTGATCTGTGCTTCAGAGTGGGTGCCCAGCGGGAAACCCACTGTCCTTGGAGCAGAATCCTTGGTGGGTCACGTTGTTCCCAGCCTCCTCTCCCCTGCCTGATGACTCATCAACTTTATTCATGATGAAACAGAAGCAGTTCCTCATTTCATCCCCTTTCTCTCTAAACAAGGCACAATCGTGGCCTTCCCACCTCCCCCAACTTTCTTGTCCTGCTCTACCTCCTTCCCGTCTTCATAGCTATTGTTATAATCTAGTATGATTTTAGAAGGAAATACTTTATGTCCTGAAAAGGAAATTCCAGCCTTCTGCAGGATGATAGGGTTATATTTATTTCGGTAGGGGCTGGAGGTTGTTGGAACAGGAACAGAGGCACCTTCCTGGTTTAACCTCCTAATTGTTCTAGAAATGAGACAGCCTTATTTGAACACATTCCTGTTCTCTCTCTGTCTTCTTTACTTGAAATCTAAGTAAAAGGAATTCACCTTACCCCAGATTTAAGTTCTTAACCCATGCCTGAGTTATATTTTAAAAATGGAATTTTCCTCTCTATGCCTATGCATTAAATGGAATCTGAAAGACCTGTACGTGTGCATTTTGTTTTAAATAAAGTCTGGTATTGTATTTAGCCTTGCAGGTGCAGGAAGATGCTTCTGTGAAAATTCCTGTTTGTTAAAACTTGTGAAACTTGGAGATATCCAGAACCTTTCCAACCAAAATTGTTTAGTCAGATATCAAGTTTTTGTGCTATGAACATGCTTCCAAATCACTTGATGGTCACTGTGAATACTATCACCATTTTAATATAGATGCTTCTTAGTACTTTAAATATTAATCATAAGCCAAATGATGACCATGTGTGGCTTTTTAGTACTTTTAAAAACTGCAGTGAAATACTTTATGCATTCTGATATGCTTAAAACCAAATTATAGCCAGAGCCTATATCCTCTTTTTATTTGCCGAAACTGTTTGCCTGTCTGCCTACTTTTTTTCCTTTTATATGTA